CCGTCTTGTCTCTCTTCCATGTTAGGATTTCGGGAGTGTCCGAGAGAACGACACTAAGCACGCGCGTTCCACTTCACAGGGGAAGGCGAAAAGGGGCCACCGTCGGCTGTGTTTTCAAAACTCTGGCGGCGCCCCCAGCTGATGGCACCTCAACCACTCACCCAGCCAGGCCTTCTCGCGACCGGGGACACTCGTGCGACGGCAACGCCGCCCGTGTTGACCAGCCTCTCCGTCCCACCTGGGTAGCAGTCATCCCCGATGACGATCCTCGCAGTTGTGAACAACCCGCGTCTTGGAGCTGAAGCCCTATCGGGATCTCACATGTATCCCCGTGCCGCTAACAGGATCAATATCCGTCCCTGACTCTGGCTCCATGCCATCACCCCGCGTGCCCCCCATGCCGTGCTTTCGATGTTGTGCCCTCAATCAATGACGTGGCCCCAGCTCATGGGCCGTAGCCGACCCAAGCACCGCCGCTTCGCGACCAACCATTGCCGTTGGGCGTCAAGGAGTTGGAGGTTGAGGAATTCCGGTTTGCCAGAAACCAACAAAGTACCCGCGTGGCTTGCTTCACGGTAATTCTGTCTCAATACTGCTCCGATGCCAACTTGTTGTTATTCACTTTCGGAATGAGCCAAACAACCACTTCGTTTGATGCCCTACAAGCAAGCCCCTTGAATCTCCTCGAATCTCCCCGAACATGAGATTAGGTAAAACCTCTTCGAGTGTGCCCCTAAACAGTACGGGGCCGGGAGACGTCGTCCATTGCACTCCGTTGTGATTCCTCCCAGGCGAGGAAGTAGCCAGAGCAATGACGAACAGAGTTGGGAACAGCTCCGAAGGGACTGTGAGCATCAATAAACTTTGGCTGAAACCTCTCGACACCTTCCTCACTCCCCGACCGCTCTCTTAAGTGCAAAGAAGAGAATGTACTACCGACTACTTCGTACTGGTCAGTCAAACAAGCCAACGGAGCATCGAAATCCTCCTCAACTTTCAACACCGCCGCAGCAGCAACTACCCTTGTATTCTCCCCCAGCCCCTTTTCATTCCCCACACGCCACGAAAATACCGTCCCCAGAGCCTTAGCATCCCCTTCGTACTCAATCACCATTCCGGCCAGCAACGAGATGAAGCCCGGGCTGGTCATGATCGGCAACAGACAGGCAGGCTCGGCTGCTCGCTCTTATACCATGTTGTCACCCAGAACCACGGCTACATCGAGGCGCCGTACCCCTTTGCAAAGCGAGAACATCACCTTCCCAGCACTGAGGTCTCTGGTCAAATATCGATGGGCCTGCCGTCACGACCACTAATTCGAGGCCTTCCAAACAAAGTCTCCATTACCTAGACGATATGGCCATTCCATACGAATACAACCCAGACACCAACCAACCATCTTTGCCTGGCACAATCCACGCTTTCCCCACTGTAAAGTTCCCAAACCTCACGGATGGGAAACGGCGATAATCGCAGCGGCGCGAGTCCCAAGCTCGAGTTAATTGCCCCGTCGACGAGTGCCGCTGAAGATGCTGTGGTTTACAATGATGGAAGTTGTTGGATGGATGGATCCCCGGACCTAGCGCCCTAGCCCGAGATCCCTGAGCAGGTTTCCTAGTTGCGAGCGCCCGTTCCCGCTTCCTCTGGCTACAAGTAATGTGATGCTGATTGAGCAAACCGGCGACAACCGGGGTGATCGCGGGGTGGGTTTATCTCACAAACTGAGTGAGCTCGCGGCCTTGGTTCAAAATGATATGCTTGGAGTAGCGGATACTTGGCGAACAGACCGGGACCTTGAGCCGTAGCCGCAGGATCGGGGACGCAACATCCAATCCAAGAATCTTCTTCCTGGTCTTCACATTTCTGCGCCGTGGGTGCCGGCTGTCTGTCCTGTAGCGGCTTGATGACGCAAACTCAGCCCCGGGAAAGCATGTCGCTACCCGAGTCCGTCACAAACAGGAGAAGGGCAATCTCTTGTCACGTTCAAGAGGTGCCTGAGTGATAAACCCCAGAATGTGATGTGTCTCCCCATTCAAAATGTTATGGAGCGCCCTCCATGGTCGATACGCGTTTGTCAACCTGCGGTTGTCGGAGATTACCACACCGGCATCCGAGACCCCGGCAACGCACATGTGATATCTCAACTTGAATATGTGAGCTAATTTATGTAGCTAAGAGCCTGCAAGAAGCCATGTCCCTGGTATCCCAATTTGTCGCCCCAACCACCAACCCTTGCCGTGGCTGCTCTCTTTAGCTCTTGCTCGGATCTCTCCGTGCCCCTGTTCACCACCACTTCTCAAGAGAAACGCCTCCGTCACCTCCAGAAAACATGAATTACCGTGCCATCAAACGCCCGCCCAGCCTGCCCCCTGGGTATCCCCTTTTTCCCCAGCTCCCATTTTCCATTACATCCACCCACCGAATACAACGCTCACTCCAACACCAAGAACTCCCCCGCAACCCCCCTCGCACCCTCCACATCCCCCAGCAGATAGCACAGCGTCCTGATATTATACGCGGCCTCCACTCTCAAATCCTCACTCCCCATCCCCCCAACGCCCTCCCCCCCCTCTCCATCACCATCCCCCGTCCCCCCCTCCGCCAAAACCTTCTTATAATACTCAACCGCCAACCCCGCCAACCCCACCAACGAATACGCCCTCGCAATATTAAAATGCGCCTCCTGCCTAACCCCCACCACCCCCCTTCCATCCACCCGCCCTTTATCCACCCCACCCTTCTCCGTACGCGGATGCAACCGCAACCGATCATCATAGTACCTAAACAGAAACGCAAACCCCTGCGTCAGCAGGTACTGGCGGTTGGTGGCCTGGCGCTTGAGCGCGTAGTGCACGTAGGCGAGCCCCGTGCTGAGGTTGATGAGCGGGTTGGACGGGTCGAGCGAGGCGGCGCGCGCAAAGTAGGAGAGCGCGTACGTGTAGGATGTCGTCGTGAAGAGGATGTGTCCGTAGATGGTGAGCAGGGCGACATCCAGCGCGATGTCGGAGTCGGGGGCGGCGGTGGTGGTGGTGGTGGAGGGGTTGAGAGGGTGGGTGTTGCTGAGGAGGAAGGTGGGGTTGTTTGGGTGGGTGGTGGTGTTTTCTCGCCGCATGACGATGTTGTCCATGGTTTTGATCTGGCGGAGGATGAATTTCTGGGCGGGGCCCGAGGTGTACCAGGATACGGGTGTCTGGCAGACGCGGGCACATGGCCGAGAACATGCGGTAGGAATCTGTGCCGGGGCATGTAGTCGCGCATGAAGTAGCGGGCGATGGCGACGCACGTTTCTTCGTCGTCTGCGTAAACGGCGCACGAGGGCCCAGGCGACATGAATCAGAAAGGTCGACTCGGGTCGTTGTCCAGACGATGGAGTTCCGCGCCGGCGTGGCAGACCACATATGCCTTCGCGGTGCTGGTCCTGGCGCGGGACGGAGGGTGAAGGGCGTAGTTGAGAAAGATGTCGAGTCAGATGTCGAAGGAGATGCCCCGATGGTCCGAAGGGAACTTCACCGGGATCCTGATGACCTGCTCCTGGCCTTCGGCAGGCGCGAGGTTCTGCCGCAGCCGCTCTTCCATGGCAGCCAGCTTCATATTCCTTGCCGGCACCGCGGCCTGCCCTTGCACATTGGCAGCATACCCAAGGAACTTGATGTACTTCTCCCACGGGTAGAACTGCTTATACGACCGGAAATCGTCGATGAGATGCTTGGCGGCCTTCATCCAGACTCCCTTCGCTTGCTCGTCCCCGGCCAGAGCGTTATCTTGAACCTCGCGCAGCCGCTGGAAGTTCTTGGCCGCCTCGGCTGTCATCTCGAGCTCCTGCTGCCTCCTCTTCTCGGCGTTGATCAGGCGCCTCGGCACATAATTGGACTTCTTGTTCGGGTCCCTGGGCTTGCGCGGTCGAGGTTTGCCCTCTCTCGGCTTCCGCGGCCCGTACGGGGCACGGCGCCGGCCGGAGCCATCACCCCTTCTCGCTTCCAGATTCATAGCTTCGCGCACAAGAAGGAAAGCCTCCTCCCGGCCTTCCTGCATCTCCTCGCCCTCGTACATGTTAGCCAGCTGTACGCGGGCCTCGATGTGATCTTCGTCGTCCTCGATCGCCGCGATGAAGCACTCTTCCGCCGCCGATTTCTCCCCTCGCGCCATGTGATACCGGCCCTGGCAGACAGAAAAGTCGGCATCTAGCGTAATCTCCCCCGTCGTCATGGCGATATTTCTGTAAAGATCGAGGTAGAGGATCGCATCGTCTGCCCTCCCACGGTCGAGCAGCGCAACCGCAATATCCTTCAGACAGTCGGGGAAATCCATAAAATCCTCCTCCTTCGCCGGATCAAGCAGCTGCAGGTGCAGGTTCGCCTCGTATTCGAATCCCAGCTTGCCGCGGTACACATACAACTTCGCGCGCAAGTCGACGGGCAGCCCCTGGCCATAACTCTCCTGCGGAAACCTCGCTGGTTCAAACTCAGGCACCGCAATCCGCCTGTCGTCAGTGATATCCCACTCCCTGTCATCATCCACCCACTGGTCCCAATACACCTCGTCCCTCCTCCCCAACAACCACCGCGAAATCTCCTTCAACTCCTGCGCGCCCTCGCGCCACTGCTCCAAAATCGTAAAAAACTCCAAATAAATCCTCAAATCCGACCACTCAAACCACCCCTCCTCCGCCTCGAACGAGCCCCCAGCACGCAAATGATCCACCAAGCGCCTATACGCGGCCCTCGCAATATCGGCGCCCTTCCGCCGGTCCTTCACATCCAGCGCGACATCGGCAATGTTGCGCACGGTGCGGATGTTCCACGGCCGGTAGCTCAGCGCCTTCTGGTACTCGGCCAGGGCCTTGCTGGCGTTGCCCTGCATCATGATGACGTCGGCGCGGCCGGTGCGCGCCGTGATGTTGGCGCGGTCCGTCTCGAGCGCCTGCGTGTAGCAGGCGTAGGCCCGCTGCAGGACTTCGTCTTTGGCGGGGGTGTTGCCACTGCCGCTGGTGCTGCCGTCGGCGGTGGTGGCGGCGTCGTCATCAACGTCCTCGAGGCATTCGAGCGCGTACTCGGCCGTGGCGATCCATTGCGGTACGTCGCGTGGGGTGAGGTGGGCGGCGGAGATGCGGCACCAGATGGCCTGCTCGCGGTTGCCGAGTGTCTCGTGCACGGTGGAGAGCAGCATCCAGGCGTTGAACACCTCGCTGTTAATGCGGATGATCTCGGAGAGGTGGGCGATGGTTTTGTCGTAGTCTTTCTGCTGGAAGGCTTCGTTGGCGAGGGACATGCGGAACTGGATGTCTGGTGGGAGCTTGGCTGCCTTCCTAGGGCCGGTGGACTTGCGCGATTTGGATTTCCGGCCGCCCTTGCCGCCGGCCTTTTGAGGTGGTGGTGGTTGGTACGGTATCCCCGACGCCTCGGCTCGCTGGCGGGCGACGAAAGCTTCTTGTTGGAGGTCGAACCGCTCGACCTCGGCGCGGAGTTCGAGGGCGTCCGAGTCAGCGGAGATGTTGCTCGCCACCTCGTCCTCGTCGTCGTCCATCATCATCTCGAGCTCTGGCGGCCCTCCAGGGTATAGACTTGGGTCTATCATGTTGAGAGAAAATCTGGATGCTGCTGTTTGTGATGGAGGCGCGGCCGCGGCCGCCTCGTCGATATCCATGTTGTCCATCTTGTGGTCTTCTTGAATCCCTGCTGAGCCTCAAATCGTTCCAGGTCTCAAAAAAGCGCCTGCTCCAACAAAGCCTGAGTAAGTCGGGGTCTCCAATGTTGACTTCACACCATCTCAACCCAGTCAACCCCTGATCCTCATGAGATCCCCAGTCTTAGACAATGATATCGCTTTTTGCAAAAGTTGTGCTCGAATCCCAGGTGTCGCTTTCCGCTCTCAATAATTCGATTTTGTTGAACAGAGTGTGTATTACTGTTATCTCTCGCCTGCCCTGAGTTGGAAAGAAGCAATGTAAGGAGAAAATCTGAATGGTGGTTTTTAGCAAGTACCTAGTTGAAATGTTCAAGAAGTGGATGTTTGAGAAATGCCTGTGCATTCGTTCACTTGTGGAGTTCCATGTTGAAGACAACAGCACAAGGGCAGTGCGAGGATTAACTCACACTGAGATGCTATCTGCGTACAGGTTACAACGAAGAATGAAAACATTTAGGAATAATGGAAAGAAGCAAGGTTAGAATCCAGAAATACTTGATTACAGTCGTTAATCTACCGACTTCAGCAATCACCTTTATCGGCGCATCACAAGTTGCAAAATTGCTGACAGTGTGGAGTCAGGAGTAGAATTCAGAGCCGGTCTCAGCACAACCAAAGCTTCACATTCACATAATAGTGAGACTGAGATTGTTATCAAAGCAGAAAAAATCATCGTAAATTATCACCCCTTGGCAGGAGGAACGCCATTATAGCGTTACTATTTCGCTCTCCCAAAACCGTGGTCGCCCAAATCCACCCCCTGTACATGTACAACCTGCGAACCGTCCCACTCAAATTGCCATAAGCCTTAGAGAAAACGCTCATATAGCTTGCTAAAGAGTTCATGAACCACCTCATTCACCCAATCATCCCCAACTCCGAGCATAACCCTGTAGGCTCGCAGCAAGGATATTCAGCAACCGATGCTCCGTAGGAATGTGATAGCACCCGGTCCGCCTGGTTCCATATAACCCTTTAATGTCCCGGAACATTCTACCATATTCTCGTTACCGGGAAACGGGAAGAAGGCACCTAGCCCAGCTTGCCATCGTTCCTGGCCTCTGTCAAGTGAGTTAGCATCTTCCCATTCTCATTCTCAATCTGCATCTCGGAAAACATACCCTTGACCTGCTCAAAAACCTTGAGCATCTTGCGTCTAGCACCCAGCGCGTTGACGCCGCGGTCCTCCAGCTGTTTGTCATCCAGCTCAATGAGATCAGTCCACTGCATGTCCTTGAGGTTGTCCGTGTATTTGTGCAAACGCAGGCTCCGCAGCCAGCTCGGGATGTCCTGCAGCAGCGTCGGGTCGGTGGGATCCTCAGGGGGCTTCGACGTGCCTCTCCGACCACGTGGAGAACGGCCACGCACCATGTCCGAATGATCTGAGTGGTACCCTTCATGGTGGCCGCCCAAGCCCATCTGGAACGGACCCAAGTTCATTGGAGCCAGTCCATTGTTCATAATCGAAGGTCCTCCATCATAGGCACTAAGGAAACCATTATTCTGCGGCGAAGTGAAGGACAGGGCGGGTCCGTAGTTTTGCATAGCAATGCCCGGTGAATTAGGCCGCGACCGATGAGCCGCAAAGCTCAGGTTCTGCGGCTGCTGCAGGGCCATCACCTGCTCCCGGCTCAGCGGCACCCCATGCTCGCTGACCATAATCGCCCCAGGGATAGAAGGAGCACCCGGCGACAGCGGGTTCTGCGGTTGACCCGGCTCGTTGGAGCGGGTGCGCCGATACTTGCGCACATCATCCAGCGCAAAGCGGTTGTTAACCGTCGAGAGGGCCGCCAGCTTCATTGCCGTAGCGTTGGCAACCATATCGGCATTGTTCCCCTGCGGCTGGTTGAAGCTCGCCACCATGGGCGTGTTGACCATCGAAGCCCAGTTGCCACTGGCGCCGTACGGAGACAGAAGAGGCAGGTCGGCAAGCTGCGGCTCTCCAGTAGTCAGTGTGGTCGACTGGATGTTGGTGTTGCCCGAGATCTGCGGGCGAGGAGATCGCAAGCCACCAGCTGACGGTGGAGGCTGCACGAACTGGCCCATCGGGGGTTGGCCGGAAGAGGACTTGGGGCGGTTCGGGTCGTTGGGACCCCAAGGGGATGCTGGGTTCTGCGCATTGGGATCATCCTTAGGAGCAGAGATGGTCGGCGCCACCAGAGAGTTCCGGTTATCCACCAGGCTATTTCTAGTCGAGGTGGGGGGATTGCCCGTCTGCTGGGTGAACTTGGCTTTTTCGGTCGCAATGGCCGCGGCGGCATCGGGGAACATGGCATTAATGGTCGAGGGATCAAGGCCCGACTGGCGCTTCACGTTTGCACCGGCACTCGGGCGGGCCAGGGAGTTCCGAGCCGAGTCGACCGTCAGCTTGCTCATAGCATCGCTCAGACGGTTAGACATGGGATCTGCATCACAGCCTCGTTAGAAATGGCACATTTAATGAGTTTTAGGACACAAACCCTTATCAAAATTGGCCGGCGAAAGCACACCCGACATTGGGTGGTTCTTGCCCATCTGCTGCAAGACCTGAATAAAGAAACGGATCTGGACCTGGGTGGTTTGTTGCAGCAGCGCATACAAGGCAGCGGTGCGTTCAGCCTCGCTCAGGACCCGGAACCACTGTTCAATAGCACTCAGCTCGTCCTTGAAATCCTGGTCGAGGGTAGCAGCTGCCATCTCCTCAAGAGTAGTCTCATACTGGTCGATATCGGCAATCCACTGTTGAGCAAGTTTGTCCTGGGGGTCCAATTCGGAAGTGCCCTGACCCTGGCCTGCCTGTGGCTGGCCGTAGAAGTCGGAAGATGGTCGGATCCGACCAGCGGCGGCCTGTCCGGTCAAGGCGGCCATATCCGCAGACGCACGGAGGGCGTGATTGTTTGCACCGATTGCACGGGAGGAAGGTGGCCGCAGCGATGAAACACTGGCAGCCTCGGGAGTGCTGTTACGGTTGCTCATGATGTTGGACATGTTGAGCATAACCGTCGTGCGACCGAGATTCGTGTGGGAGGAATCGAATGGTTGGGTGCAAGGACTCTATAAACGAGGGTGGGAATGAATCAAAGCGTCGTTTCTGAAGATCAGCCAGTGCCAGGTGCCAGGAAAAGGTGAAACAAGGTTCGCGGCTATTCAATGTTAGCTTGCGCTGGCTTTGGGAGGTTTCGTCATTTTCCAGGACCGATCTTCATGCCATAGAAGAGTGGGGGTATGCGCGTCAGATACGTACCAAGGCAGAAGGTCGCTTGCTGTGCTTGGGCAAAAATGAACCGATAGTATTAGATTCACCGAAGAGACTTTCGAAGTCGCTGCGGAGAGGAAAAGGCACAAAGACTTTCGAACACTCCTGCAGTAACCCGCTGGCCTCAAAGGAGGATCGAAATTTCGCGATGAAGAAGGTCACGAAAAGGCACGAGGTTCTGTAAAAAAGAGACCCAAGGGTCGAGTTAATAAATCAGGCGCCAGGAAACCAAGTTGCATTCGGGGCGCATGTTGAGGGAGAACTCAGAGGACCGAGCAAAGAAAGGATCTTGAGTAACAAGCAAGTTGCCAAAAGATATGCCAGATGCCGCCACTCATGCAGGCATCGATTTCAGACGAAAAATCGAGAACAAAAGTAGACAAAGAAACTCAAGTGTGCCGCGGGGTCTTGTTCCCGAACCGAGTCCAGCCCGCAGCTTCACAAAACCCCAAGACGAGACGACGCACATCAGGCGGCTAGGCGGGGAAATCGCAAAAGATAAAACTCACCCATTAAGAAAGCTCCAGAGTATTCAGAAATCCGCGCCGAAAGGAAGAGGTAGGAGGAGGAGGAGGATTAGCTAGCTCCGGCCTGAACCAGCAGAAGTTGACAGGTTCGCGGTGACGGGACGAACAAAAAGGAGAAGAGGACGGGATGGAGGAGCTCGTTGAGATGGAGTCGAGGAACCAGAACCTGACAGGGGCCAGGAAGCCAACGAACGGAAGAAACGGAAGACGCACGGAAGTCCAGGAACAGTGGATCCCGGTGAGCCCCAGGCTTGGGCACAGCCGGGCGCTGGGCGGCTGGGTCACCCGCTAAGGTTAGCACCATCACAAGCGCAGGAGCCAGCTCCACAGGGGATGTTTCGCCTCAGACACAGAGCCACAAACCCCGATATGAACAACTCGGCAAGAACAAAAATATGGAGGTCACTGTGAATCGAGAATGATACCTAAGACCCCGGTGGGAATTTCGGGAGACACTTCCACCCCATAATCTCGGAGCAAGACAAAGAAGGGGCACCAGACTTTTGCCCGTTATGCTCTTCTTTTTGCATGAAGTGCCTAGCTCTCGAGGCCGCCTTAACCTAGGCTCCTCGCATAGCGTGCATAGAGCCCGAGCCTCAATATCCTAGCTGAACCTTCCTCCGGCAGGCAGTTAGTTGGCTACGGAGTGTATTCCGGGTTACCTATCCTCTTGAAAATAGGGGTTGTCAGCAACCGAGCCTCCCCACTACGTGCCGCCGCTGCTCGCAACAGTAGACATCGGATGGGTGGCACATGAAACGACCCGACAATAAGGTCTGAGTGAGTTTGTCACGAGGGCACAACCTCCAATAGGCAACGAAACAAAACTCGTATGGGCTTACTCAAAGTGCTGCGGCTGAGAGGCATGGACTTCAAGTCGCAGGGCTGAAGCCCAAGAGGAAGAGTGGCTGGCATGCATCATCAGTCATACAGCAGGCGGGCATCATTAGTTGCGAGGGCCAGGACTGGGACTTGTTGCAAATCTATATTTGTTACTCAGGAACAAGCTTTCGGTTCCTTCATCAGGGAGGTACGGGAGCAGGCATTGGATTGCGTGGTCTTCGTAGAATGTAGCCTTGCTTTCATGCACCCCAAGTCTTTCGGAGGAAGATCATAGGTGTTTGGTAATAGCAAGGCTGGTCCGTCTTGGCACGATATAATCCTTCAGCAGATTGAGCATGGAGAAATGGCCCAGAGCTGTACACACTAATGCCGTTCGTCGTCATGACGCCCCCAGAGATACCCGCAACAAACAAGAATCAAGGTTGGTCAAAAGGAGGGGGAAAGATCGGGGTCACCGTGGTCAGCGCGCATCACACACCCAATATCACACACCTTGTCAGCCTGGCTTGGTTTGTTCTCGTCCCAATCAAGCCGTGCCCGCGATCGAGGAGAGGATAGCACACCCCGGCAGGTCCGCCTCTGCGCGGAGGCCAATGCATTCCGTTTGGGTTTGATCGAAATGACGCCCTAGATAACACCTCGAAAAGCCGGCCCAGTGAGCGGTGGTGTAAAAAAAAATCGTCACCGCCTTAGAATCCCTCCTTCGTAAGAGTCATGTCCGAAGATGTGTCCCCTCCCCCAACCGTTGCGCGCCGCTAGCAAAAAAGGAAAATCGATTTAGGCAGTCTCCCTCTTGCCCTCCTTGAACTCCTTCTGTAGGATGTGTTAGCGATACCGGTCTTGGTCCCCCATCAAGCGGTCGTGTCGGGTTTGCGTACCAGAGCCTTCGCGGTGCCGTGGAGCGCATGCCTGTGGTTCCTGCGGAACTTGGGGTCGGTGCCCTTCAGCGAGGGGTACCTCTGGGTCTTAGGCTTCTTGATGCTGTTGTGGTCTCGCGGTTAGCTTCCCCGATGCGGCGCTGAGTCGGTTCTCGAGGGTGCGTACCCGTTCCGGTGCGCCTTGCGCGACTGGTTGTGCTGGGACGAGTTCTTAGACTCTGCAAAATCGTCAGTACCGCTCAAGGCAAAGGCAGCACTAAAAGGGGCGACATACTGGCCATTGTAGAGGATTTTGGCTCTGACTGGAGTTGACTGAGTCTGAGAAGCTGGGGTGCAAGGTTCAACAACTCGGAATGTCGCTTGCGCACAAAAGTGGAAGAAATTAGGGCCCTAATTTGGTGGCTGTGGCTGTTGCGGGGCTGAATGGTGGCGCAAGAGTAATGAATACATCAAACGCCGTAAATAACGCCGTTAATTACGCCGAAAGAGGAATCTCAACTCGAAACTTTGGCGCTGCAATCGCAATCACAGCAGGGACCTGAGCAGAATCAGTCGTTCGAATGCTAATAATCATATTTAGAATAAGAATCTATATGCGCTATTCATATACAGAGGCAAACACCCCATTCCCCGGCAATAAACACCAACAAACACCGACAAGCCGACCGTATGTTATACAACAACAGTATTTCACGACTTTTCCAAGACACCCACCCTCGGCCGAAACATCCAGATGGCGGTTTATTTCACAGTGACAGGAGCTACGAGCTTGGCCGCAGCCGCTAGATCGCCAGCCTTCCCGAGCCTCCGGGATCGCATGACCTGGAGATACCGGACGAACAAGACGAATAAGAGTTCGACGCTGCAACAACAACGTTAGTAATGGACGGCAAAGGCGCAGTTTGCAGTACGTACCGCTCTTTCGTCATCATTCGGATACCCTGCACCAGCAGCCCCTTGAGGATCTGCGGCCCAATGCCCTTGAACAAGCTCCTTGGGCCTTCGTTCGCGATGATGAACTGCATAACCTCGATGAAGCTCTTGAACGGCTTCCCCTGCCGCGCCGGGGGCGGCTTCGACTGCAGGCCGACCTTGGCCACGATCAGGGGCTGGGTGACGATAGTGGCGAGCGCCTTGGACATCGCGCCGAGGGCTTGGGACTACGTTAGCCTTCCAGCAATCGGTCACGATGGAGTCTTGGGCTTACCGAAAGCCTCCATTGGCGACAGGTTCTTCTTCCCCGGGAACAGAACGTCCTTCAACCTCTCATAGGCCCCATATGTGATAGACGGGTTGATTACCAGCACCAAGCTCGCCTTCAGCCCCCTCCACAACCCGGAAACGCCATCCTCACCCTCGACCACCTCGCGCGCTGTGTCGATGAAGCCCTTCCTCTCCCCCTTGCTTTGTGTTTGTTGCCGGGTTGTGATGACGGCGACAGGGATCGTAAAGAGTTGGGCAAGCGCGCCGGCAGCAGCACCGAGGGACAGCTCGACGACGGTGGATGGCTGGCCGGCGGCCTTGGCGTACTTGAGGTAGACGGTGCGGACAATGGAGTACCAGTAGAAGTAGGCGAAGTTTGTCGAGGCCACACCGAGCAGGGAGCCACCCATGCCGGCGTACAGGCCCGCGATGCCCTCGGCAGACGCGATCTTGGACACGGCGTCCCAGGTCCCTTTGTAGTGCACCTCGTCGGATTTTTCGTCGGTCTTTTCGGCGTCGGTCGGCTTTACTTGAACCTGGAGCTTCGTCTTGATGCTGGATCGCCATGCTGATTAGTCACTGTATGCGCCAAAAAGTGTAGTTGACGTACAGATCGAGAGGGTAGACGAGCGCATTCGCAAAGACTGCGCCCGCGGCACCTGCCGTCGCTTTACCCCATGGCCCAATTGGGGCCGGTTTCGACTGGACGGGCATTGCGATCTCCTCTGGTCCTCGTTCAAGACTCGGCGGCGGTTTTCGCGCGGCGGGGTGGGCTCGAGTGCTACCGCGGTGATTGGAGTGTGGAAAATGTACTGTGTAGGCTCGTGATCGGAGTTTGGCGTATCAAGGTACTTGCCGGGTAATCAACCCCCCGATGACGGCAATTACCTCGGCTGCGCACGGCAAACGGCAGCGGGTCACAAGCTAAGAAGCAACGAATCTAAAATAAACGGTTGCACAAGACACATACACGGCAAGGTCATGGATAAGACGACAATGACGGCAATGGCAACAGGGACGGCGCCATCAGAGGATCCCGCCCCTTGTATTTGACTCGCAGCCGTGGGCCTGTGATAGTTATCGGGACTGTGTAGCCGTCAACCTCGGCAGGTGAAGACCTCCACTATTCGGGACAAGCAGTGAGACCTCCATTGCCCCGCATCACTGATCCCGGTCTGGACATGCCAGTAAGTCAGGTGCTTTGCAGTTCACTTCTATACCTACATTACACTACCAACAGCCCTTCTTTTTTTGCTAGGTTTTTCTCTTTTCTTTATCTGGCTTACTCAACCCCCATATTCATTATTGGACTAGATAATCACTAGATAATTATTTATTACTTCATCCCCGTAGAACCGTCTCTTATCTTCTCTTTCTGGCTTCCACTTGGCTGAGCGAACTGTGCCGCTAACCCCGATGCGGGGTCTATGAGCAAGCCGCCGTCGAGGTTCTCCTCACTGTTGGAGAGACCACAGCGGGACCTCGCCTACGAACCTGATATCTTTTGGGGGTCTTTTCGCCAGTTCATAATACTTAGTTTTGGTGCCTTGTGTTTTTTTTTTCTCGCAGTGCAATAACATCTTTTCTCCTTTTTGGCAGTCGGGACTCAGGTGGGAGTAAATTCTCAGTCTGCCTACCTAAGGTACCTTGGATCTTCCCGCCTGGCGCTTGAAGAGAAAAAAGGGCTCTACTTCGGAGGCAGTTAACCAAGCAGCCCCTGACGCTTGATTCTCTTATCTCAGCTCCTGCCCGCAACACCCCACCGCCAGCAACCGCTTGCAGGTTGGCATCCAATATTACCAAGATGCCGTTTACCTTTGGCATGTTAGTTAGGGTAGCTACGAATATTCAGGAGCAACAGAAAGGGTTTTCAAAATTGTTCCCTTTTCTACATTTATTGCATCACCATTGAATTACCATCCGACACGGAACACGACAAAAGGACCTGTGATTTCTTTCTTAGTGGCTTAGGTCCGAAACCCCCGTACTTTCGTCGCGGATGTGACGTATTTGGACCCAACAAGCAATGGAGGCCCAAGCCCTGGTGAGAAGTTCTAATAGCCGGTTTAGGGCTTTTTTCCCGACCTGGTCGGATCTGACAACGACACCAGGAACACGAACGCCGTCTGGGTGAGACACACGGAGAAAAGGCCTTGGAGCACGCCATCGCCGCTGCCGACCTGTATATGCAGGCTGCTGGTCAGACCAAAATCCCAGAAGATCGCAAGCGGTTCAGGAGAAAGTTCGCCGACCTCATTGCTCTTGGAGAGCGCCTCAAGGCCAACGCCAAAGCTGCCAGCAGCGCCTCGAGACCTGCCGTCCCTGAGTCCACTCGGATCCTAACAACGGCAGAGAAAACGGCTATTCTTGAAGCATCACGGCTACATGGAAATGTATTCCCACCCTGGGAACGTGTCCCAGCTCCGGAGAGCTTTTCGGATGTCAATAGCCCTACTTACACGTAGGTGAAGAGTGCGAGGCGAGCAAGCTCTGTTCCCCTGTGCTAACACCTCCTCGCACTCCAGTGACCCTTCGCCCTTCTCACTTTCCCCCGAGCAGCTGGATATCTTTGCCGGTTGGTTGCGTCCTGCTGAGCTCCCAGGGTTTAAAGATGAAAGTGCCGAAGGCGACCTGGAGCAGCTCATGACTGCAAACGCGGAAACGGACCTGGCGCAGGATTTAGCGACAGACTGTTCTGTCGTAGCTAGCCTATGCGCCGCTACTCGCTACCTTGGGTCTACAAAAGGCTCGGTGAGTAGCCATATTTGTTACCCAACCCCCGAGCCATGACTAACACGTACCGGGGTAGCTACTTGGTTCGCTAATATACCCATTCGACCACGAGAGGATACGGCCGGCTATCTCCAAGACCGGCAAGTACGTGTTCCGCATGTATTTCAACGGGAGCTGGCGCCACGTTGCCATCGATGATCGTCTCCCCGCGTCCAAGACTGACCGCACACTGTATGTCGTCGACCGGCGCAATCCTCGGCTGCTATGGCCAGCTCTCATCGAAAAGGCGTACCTGAAGATACGTGGCGGTTACGACTTCCCCGGTAGTAACTCGGGAACGGATTTACATGCTTTAACAGGATGGATCCCGGAGCAGATCTTTCTTCAGAGGTGAGCAGGGCGTAATAGCGTAAAGTAAACCACTAACTGGGCCTTCTCAGCGACGAAATCGAACTTGATGAAACATGGTCCAGGATCAAGAAGGCCTACGACGATGGAAATGCGATTCTTACCCTTGGGACGGGGAACATCCTACCAGAAGAAGAGGAAGCGTTGGGCCTGGTAAGAGAGCACGACTACGCTGTCATGGGCCTGAAAAAAGAGGACGACTCCCGCTTGTTACTCATCAAGAACCCCTGGGTCGACAGCCTCGTCTGGACAGGCCTTGGGAGCACGGCAACCCTCAAAGCACACACGGTCGGATCATCTGACGGAGCGTCCAACCAGTTCTGGATGGCCATCGAGGACGTTCTCCAACACTTTGACTCGCTCTACGTCAACTGGAACCCGGCGCTTTTTGCCTACCGGCAGGACCACCACTTCAAGTGGAAAATGTGCGACAAGACGGAAAGAGCTGGTCTTCACGCACAACCCGCAATACAGTGTGCTCTCTCCCTCCGGCAGTCCCATCTGGGTGCTGCTCAGCCGTCATTGGCAGGACGGCGAGCTCGAGATCCTGCGCCCACGCAAAGCAGAAAAGGACCGCGGCGACTCTTCCTTAGCAACCGTCTCCAAGCAGCTCGGGCTTCATGGCTCTCGCGCTCTACGCCACATCACACACCGGAGCACCCGCGTTCCCCCTTGCCCGACACCGCCCGCCGCATCCACCCAAACCACTACGTCGACAGCCCCAACACCCTCCTCCGCTACACCCCGACCCCCAACACCCCCCAAACCCTCGTCATCACCCAAACCGAGCTCCCCCTCCCCACCTACTCCTTCACCCTCTCCTTCCTCTCCCACCACCCCCTGACCATCACCCCCTCCCCACCCCGCCTCCCCCACAGCACCACCCTCACCAGCGCCTGGACGCGCCGCACCGCCGGCGGCAGCGCCGTCGACCCACCTACCACACCAACCCACAATACACCCTCACCCTGCCGCAACCCACGCACCTGCACTTCACCCTCAGCACCTCCGATCGCGACCTACCCCTCCGGTCGCTCTCCTCTTCACCCCGACCCCTACTACGCGCATCGTCTACACCCCAGTGACGCGACATAGTCTGCTGCAGCGCCGAGTACGCGGCGAGGCCTGCGCGGCCGACCGCAGCACTCGCGCCTCGATCCGGGCACGTACGCCGTGGTGCTGTCGACGTTCGAGCCCGGCCAGCTGGCCCCGTATACGCTGCGGGTGGAGGCCGCCGTGCCGGTGGTGTTGGCGCCGGTGCCGGCGGATGGGGCGGGCAGGTTGCGCAGGCCGCTGCCGGTGGTGGCGTTGGGGATAGGCAGGTTGAGGGCGGGGGTTGTGCCGGAGCGGTTGACGAGGTTGGCGGTGCATGTGCGTTCTGCGCCGGGGGTGGGGAGGGGTGGTGGTGGTAGTGGGGGTGAGAGTAGTGGTGGCGGTGGTGGTGGCAGTGCGGTGCGGGTGTCGCTGGAGGTGGGCACGGGTGCGCACCGCGCGGTGTTGGCGGTGTCGCGAGAGGGGGAGTTTGCGGACGCGGCAATGGGGCTGCGCACGGCGGAGGTGGATGTTGAGAACGGGGAGGCGTTGGCGCGGCGGGGCGGGTTGTGGGTGGTTTTGGAGCAGATTGGGGGTGGGGGAGGTGGTGGTGATGGTGGGAGTGGAGGGGTGCAGGTTGAGGTGCTGAGTGATGGGGTGGTGCAGGTGGGCGGGTGGGAGAATGCGGATGAGGATTGAACTTGTGGTTTTGTTTATGGTTCGTGATCTGAGTGAGGTAGAAGTAGAAAACAGAGGTTATTGGATTTGACGGTGGTTGGTTGGCGTTGGGTACGATACATGCCGCGTTGCTGAAGGTGTCTAGGCCGATGATCATGCCTAGCCTGTTGATTAGGCCCAACGGAAAGTAGCAGGTGTTGACACATTGGTCTCAGCGAGAGCGTCCTTGTGTTTAGACCACGGGCGAAGGCAAGGAAAATCTGCAGCACTCAACATGGATATCCTCGCTATTGAATCGGTCCTGATACCGCCGAAACTCTTGGACTATATAGCCAAAATGATCAGCGAGCGTTGTGCGTTGCGCCCGTCGTTCCCTCGCGCAAGCGGCCTCTCCGCCTTCCCAGGCATCTCGTTCGGTGTGCCCACGGGACTCATTTGAAGGACAGATGGGTGATGTTGTTGAACATCACTCTTTTGCTCCATGTCTCTTGCCCCTTGCCTTCCTTCGCCTTCCCATCCCTTCCCATTTTCACCCCTCCCATTTTACCGCCAGTGTCGGTCAAGCAAAGAAAACGTGGTATATGACGTGACCATTAGAAAACAGCCGTAGACGCCCCAATCCCGGTATCATCCATCCCAGTCCAATAAATATCAGGGGTAGTCCACAAAATATCCTCAGCGGAGGAAGCCACAACTCAATCCGGAAAGTCCTGGTCTTCCTCCCAGTTCGCCGATAAACGCCGTCATGCCAAAATAAAAAAAGAAATAAGACCGCTACAAGTAAATGGCGGGAGAGAGAACGTAGAGCTTCCATCAAGGGGAAACGAACAGAAGCAGTGGCAGCGGCCTCGCACCCGGCCTGAGCCGCCTCGGTGTATATACAGCCCATCTAGCAGGAAGAGACGTCGGCAGATGCGGCCATTATGGCGACCACACCGAAAGGTATACGGAGGGAAGCGAAGACACGGTGGAGCAAATAAAACCAGAGTATGGTCCTATGTTGCAACTCCTCTTCGCCTGCGGCCGCGGCTTGGCCCGTCGGGCCGTTGCGCAAGGACATCGCGTAGGAGAGGATCGTCTTTGTCTTTGTCAACGTGGTGGACCCGGACATGCCTTGTAGCTGTTAGTCCACGATCAGAGATGGGAGGAGCGGAGGCAAAAAACGGACCCTTTGGAGATTGTCTGGTCTGGGATACCTATGGTCTCTATCCGGGCAGAATGGGCAGATATAGCCAGGTGATTCGTGAACGAGGCCGTGGCGAATCATCTCGTTCTTGCGTTTGAACCCTTTGCCGCCTTCGGCACGCGGACAACCCGGTACGGGGCAGTAATGCGGCCGTGCCGATGAGTGTACATTTGCGTGCGAGTTCAGTAGATATTGCGTCTGGAAGGCCGGTGCATTGCAACCGGGAACCTTACAAACGTAATTTCCTACCGTCTGGATAACGTCCAAGCTCATCCGGTCGAACGCCGGTGCCACTGGCGGAGAACCGGGTTGGTGCGGGCCGGCTGCTTCCGGGGAGTGACCGGGAAAATCGTGGGGCCGGTGTAAACCATTCGGTTGGGGATAATATCTCGGGCTCATCGCCGGGGGAGCAAGCGGGTGGGTCGGAGAGAGCGGGTCACGATGGGGCTCGGCGGGCGGTATGGGAGGTGACGCGAGATGCGAGTGCAGGGAGGGGAGACGCGCTGTACCCGGCGGCGATCCGGGAAATCCGTGGTGTGAGCCCCTCATGCCGTTTGGTACACCATGGCTGCTCGCGAGCTGGGGGATGTCCCCTAACTGGGATCTGATGGAGGGTAGCGTCTGTGCATTGTTCTCGTATCGCGGCGAATTGCTCTGGATCGGCGGTAGGCCCTCGCTATGGCTGTTCGAGTGTATGCTAGCAGTCGGTGACCTCATATCCATCTTGAGCGATGAGGGCGTGTGGGCAGGTTCCCTTGGCGAATACATGCTGTGGGGACTGTAAGGAGAGGGCATAGCGAGCGGGGGATGCCGCTCGTTTTTCCCGAAATTCAGGTTGTTTTGTGTGTATCGGCATGGGGGCGGTGGGTGCTGAGTGCGCCTTTCCGCCCACCACATCGTTCTCGGTGACCGGTGGCGTCGGCCCGGCATCGGGTTCTGGTACCGTGAACGCAGCAAGGGCGCCGGCCGCCAAAGACTTCAGATCCAATGCACCCATATCCTCTTCGGTAGAAGCGCTTGAAGCCTTCCCCTGGATGCCGGTCTCTCCCCCGTTTATCCTACTCGGTCCTTCACGATCCTTCTCTCCGTCAACCTGTTGCTCCTCAGGGGAGGCGTCGCGGACAGACATAGAATCTGCGCGAAATACCGAGTCGTCCAGGCTCTCCGGGTCCTTTTGGTCCTCTTGGTCCTCCGCGTCTTCTGGGTCTTCGGTTTCCGATGTCCACTCAAGATTGAGATCGGCTGCGTAGGCTGCCGTTCCGCGCCGGTATTCGTCAAGATGACTGATCAGGATGACATCGCCCTGGCTCGGCCTCGGTCCTCTCCGACGTTTGGACTTTTTCCCGCTAGGAGGACTCACAGGTGACGGGGAGAGGGTGGGAGCCGGACTCGGTGATGGTTTCAGCTTGGGGCGTCGCGGCTCCAACAATGGGCTGTTCCTTGGTAATACGTCATCAGGATCGTACACGTCGCTAACCGGAACTTGTGCAAGATGGGAAGCGGCGTCCGTACTCATTGTCTCTTGGAGGAACACACTTGGTGGTTTGACTCATAGATAGAGCGATCGGGCATTAACTCGCCATCGAAGGCCGAGTCGTGGACGGGAAGCCGAAGCAACAAGACCCGCAATCCCACACTCAACTCGGGTCGTCTCCGAAGGAGAGTGTCCGCCAAAATCCGTCTCCTCCGGGCTTTCTTTTCCCGGAAAATCCGGCGGAGGGAGCCGTCCCCGGTGTGTCAAAAGACCAGGCCGCGACAGTCTGGGGCGCGGTAATTCCCAAGTGCAGCTGGGCCCCCGGCGCGCAAAAGGCGGGGAGTGGTCATGTAAGAGCCGCAAAGCAGCCGACGAGGACGAGAGACGGGGATCGACACGGCGCAACACAGGGGGAGGCAGCTCAAAGTACGTGTGTTGCGCTGAGAAGAAAGAAGAGCGGAAGCGAACCCGTGACCGATTGATTGAGCGGGGGATTGTAAATTGCAAACTTGTCGGGGTGGGAGGGTGAGGGGGGTGGCTGGGCTCCCCGGCGCAGAATTGCGGCTCAAGGCCGTAACGGCTGGGGTTTGTTCGGCACCAAAAAGGGCGAAACGAGAGGTCAGGTTAAAAGAGGGTAGTTGCTCGAATTAATGAACCAGGTTATGGTTATGTCCCCAGGGAGCGAGGGTCGTTGGGATTTCGAGCTCCCCTCTGGCCGGTACCGCAAACTCCAAAATATGGATGAACGGGAGTTACTCGATAGGGTTGGTTGGGTTGGGTGTCGACGCAATTGTTTCGATCGTCGACAAGAGCTGCGGCTCATGGGAGCTTTGCTGCAGCCGGGGGGGGTATGAGGCTCAGTATGGTTGAGCCGCAATGACAGCAGCTTGGGCGCCAAACTACCTAACCCAGCAGGCCAGGTATGGATGGATGCACTGGCTGGGCTGGACTGTACCTAGGTCGGGAAGTTAGTGCACACCGCGGATTTTCGGACTCGGCGGTTGTACTTGGTGATGGAGGGCGGCCCCTTTCTCGCACGCGTAACCTGCAACGCTTTTGGTCCTGGTCCTTTGCGCACACAGTAAAGTCGGATGCAACGGCCAAGGCCATATGTGTGAAGTGAAGGAAGGGGGAACGGAACGAGGTATCCATCCGTGGGCGGGATGCAATGTTGAGGCACTGGGAATTGCGGGGATCCCTGTTGGGTTGCCATTGGGGAGCCTGAGCTCCAAAAGACCCGTGGACCCGCCCTCCGCTGCCCGGCATTCCAGTCCTCGGTCGCCCTTTCTGTGCAGAACACAACCAACAGATGGGATTTCAGTTTTATTAGAAGGAGCACCCTCCGCCGGCATGAATTCCCCGTCTCGCCCCATTTCCGTTTCCCCATTCCTCAATTTCCGAGTTTTCATCACGTTGCTGTGTGGTAGGAGTTAGCACCTTCTACTTGTGTGCAACCCAGCCCGAGGAAAAAAAAAAACCCTTTTTCTCCCGGTTTTCTTCCCTCTTTCGAGCAGGCCCGTACCTACCCATTATCTTCAAACGATGAGCAAGGCAACGGTCCCGTTGGGCTTGAACCACCGCCTCAAAGTTTCTCGAGGCCATTTCCGCCGCATTCTCGTTATTGGTCTCTTGCTGTTGCTGACTCCGACAGGCTCGGAGCCCCCTGGTACCAGCGTGCTGGTGGCTGGGTTGGGTATGTGGCGTCATCTCATCTCCTACATAACTCGCTCGCATTTGAGGGAGGTTGAGATGGGGGTTCGTCTTTGGGATTCACAGCCCAGGGGTCGCCTCGGGCCTCTGTTTTGTGCATTCTATGATTAGCAATAAGTGGTGAAGGGGACTCGGCATGCAGCGACGGTAAATTATCGCCTCGTATCACCGATGTTGATAACACACTCCTGCAACATGGGGAAATCTGTCGCGAATCCATTCAGGTCTATCTGGTGTTGCAGGAAACTCTGGGCTGGAACCCCCGCAATCACCAAGCCGGCCCGGACGATCCCAGGAACGGAGCGTTGGGAGAGAGCAACGCATACAGCTGTGGAAGGCCAGCCCCAAATTTTAGATACCCATCGGGTCACAGGAAACTGCATCTCGATCTGCCCAACTTCGCGAAGTAGGGAGAGCCCAGG